GTAGTGTGTGGGGNGGNGGGGGGGGGGGTGGATTTTTACCGATACTTAACCAGACAGACATACGCAAGAATAGGAATATGCAAACTCAGTCACCGATTCAGGTACACACACTTAATTCATTGGTGTCTCTGGTTGGCTGCCACAACGAGATACACAAAGATCTACAGCGCACATCTGCTGAGCTCTGCTGCGTTCATGTGATGCCCAGAACAAATAAACTTCAAGACACGAGACTCGTCAGCTAGCAAGCATGCCACAAACAACACCCAAAAACAAAACTTCAAACTAGAGGGCAGAGTGACTTAGCGAGTACGAAAGTGAGGCACTCAGGTTTCTTACGCTGCACACAACAACAGCACAGTTGATTGGTTGCAACTGCAATCGCATGCACGAGATATGGACAGCATCTAGTGTGGCTATTGAGCCAAGCCAACTCAGCCCAGCCAAGCCAACTCAGCCCAGCCAAGCCAACTCAGCCCAACCAACCCAATCCAACGCCACATACATGATATGGATCCACTCACACAGAGCACCCACCACTCAGACAACACATTCGATCTGTCAATACACAGTTAAAACGCAAACGTGTGTTTACCGTCGTCCAGCAGAGCCAACTCGGAAGTGAGAATCGCCTTATCACCGCTGAGGAATAGTTCTTTACCTGCGATGCGCAGTACGTAGTGTGTTAGCCCAAATATTGATGGACAATGCGCGAGCCAGAAGTTATCTCCGAAAACTCCTAACAATTTAGGGTTTAGGGTTTAGGGTTTAGGATATGTGCTGCATGGTGACAGACTGCACGAAGGTGATATACTTTAGAACTGCTAAAGATATCTCTTATTGGTCACGAGGTATCAAGCACTGTACGCTGGCAGTGAACCTTCATTTCTACGTGTGTGTAGCACTATAAGCAAGGAACACGACTCTGTATGTGTCACCTGTGTGGGCCTTAAACAATTTGTTGGCGTGTGAAAATAAAGTTTAGCCCGTCATGCCCGGAGACAAACAAAACGTTAACAGCACAGAGTGCTCCATCTCATTATCGCTCACCCAAATGTTTGCCATTGAGTATGCGCCCAAGGATACGTACCACTACCACCCCTGAATTTACTTCAGTATTAAACCCTAAAACTCTAAATCCAACCTAGCGCATTTAATACACATACGCAGTGGAATATCGAGGCCAAAAGTACACCCGAGACACATTAGATTAAGTATCCGCTTCGTCTGCGGATGAGATTTTTCGGGTTTTGAGTTTCTGTGAGTATCCACAGCCACCAAATCCGAAACACCTCCCGAAATTTAAATGTTGAAGCCTTCATACCGGTTTTCCTGTTCGCTTTGGCTTTCTCCTCGTTACTCGCTGCAACCGATTTATCCTTATTCCTGATTTTGTCTTGTTCTGCCTCAAATTTCTTGGCCCACTTTGCAAAATTTTCTTTTGTCACAGCGGTACCAGCCAGCCATTCTTTCTCCTGTAGTCAGCACCAGAAATTGAAATTAAAGCCAAATAACAAATTAATGTAGTGAAAGCATTGTTTTCCATGGCGTTAGGTCAAGGGGAAAGAGTTGTATGAAAAAACTTTCGTGCGTGGCAGAACCGTAATATGGTGCGCTAAACCATCGCCTCATGACAGCACTCAATGAAACAGGAAAAATGATTACTAAAGTTACCCAACCATCGATACAGCGTGAAAAATGGTCGAAGCTTTGCTATACGACTATATATATATATATATATATACCTGTAGATTAACACAAATACATACATACACATATACACACAGACACCCACGCACGCACCCACACTCACACACATATATATATAGAAGCATATAAACATATAAACATATAAATAAATATATATATATATATATAAATAAATATATAAATATATAAACAGATATATATATATACATATATAAACATACATATACATATTATATATATATTTATATATAAATATACATATATATATATATATATACATATATATATATATACACACACACAAATATATATATATATATATATATATAGATATAT